ATAGTTTTTTATTTTATAAATACAGCATTGCACGTCTAATGAAATAAATTGAGATTTGAAACTTTATGAATATAATGTGGTCTTTATGAATATAATGTGGAAGAATGAAAAAATAAAAAATAAAAATTGAGTGACCATATTTAAATAGTTTTTCAATAACAAAAAAGAAAAAAAAATGAGGCTGACCCGGTTTCATTGTAATAATTCATGGTTGGCATATAAAAATCAAAATAAATTACCATTATTTTTTAGTTTTATTATTATTATTATTATTATTATTATTTGACTTGACTTGGTATAAGCAGGACACCCCAAAAAAAATATCTCTGGGAAGAGTACGGGTGTCACTCCTAGCACCGCTAATTAGCCCTCAGCCACAAGTTTACCATATAGATTTTTTTTATTTATTATATATAGGCACGTATGTGTGTATGTATGTATGTATGTATGTATAGTATTTGTTTGTGTACTTGCTTGCTTGGTATTCCATGAGTGATGATTATTATTTAATTGGCTTAGAAGAAAAGATAGCGTGGGGCTGCAATTGTTAAAGACTGAATTCTTATCATTGGTGTTGATCTACAATTAATTAATTAATTAATTAATGATTATCAAGCACATTACTTACCACCAACCCCATCGATGGAAGACTTTTATTTTTATTTTTTTAAGTGGTAAATAACTTCATAATCTCTTGCTAGAAGCTAAGAGATCGTTTTTTAGTTTAAAAAAAAATTATTTTTTTACTTTAAATTAATATATTTTTTATGTTTTTAAATATTTTGATACATTAATATTAAAAATAATTTTTAAAAAATAAAAAATATATTTTTAAATAAAAATATATTATCAAAATTATATAAGATTATTGAATTGGTTTAAATTAATATTTGAATTTTTTTTTAATTGCTTATTTTGCTCTAACTTCATTTTTTTTATTGTAAAAAAATGGGTTATAATCTGAGATATCGTGAGTTATCTCTATAATAAAAAATTATGAGTATATTTGTTTTTATGTTTTAAATATATTTTTGAATTTTAAATTAATATTTTATAATATTTTTATATTATTTTGATTTACTAATATTAAAAATAATTTTTAAATAATAATAACATATTATTTTAATATATTTTAAAAAATAATTATTACATTAATTTTTAAACGGACAGCCTTTCAATAACATGACCCAACCATGGTAGCACACCGATCCATTAAACCACCGGAGCGTCAAAATTACCCTTACATCTAATTCAAAATAAGAGCAAACCCACCTACTCAAACCCGAAAAAAAAAAAAAAAAAAAAGCCAGCCGATGCACCTCCATAGTTAAACTCCTTCTAAAATTTTTTATAAGAAAGCAACAAAAACTACTTCAAACCGTTGTCGAATATATATTTTAAAAGCTCAAACACTCGGATTAGCACGTTAACTATTCCACACAATACAGACACCTCCACAATTAATTGCTTATGATCAAATGAGCAAAACCCAGATTGTGTTTTCAATTTAACAATTCCAGATTGCTTTTGATTAAGATTCAATGCCTAAGTCTAACAGTGATATGAGACAAAAAGAATGAAAGAAATAGTAGTTGAAAACTTGAAATACTAACTGGAAGAGGCAGCCGGCGCAATAGGCTGGGACGCGGAGGTCAAAGGAAGAGAAGAGGCAGCAGCAGGAAGTGGCGGGAAGGTGACTAACTGAACACAGGCTAGATAGAGAGATGTGTGCGTTCACTGTAGAATGAGACTACAAAAAACGCTGCATTTCAGAAGGAGATTCAAAGACATCCTTTGCTCCTCAACGATCAATAGGTCGGGACGTCATTTGCTCATCTGCGTCCTCTGCTCCTCAGCGATCAATAGGCCGAGACGTCCTTTACTCCTCAGCTGGGTTTCAAAGATAATTAGGTTTGCCAATTGTAACTGATATTGCTTCATTCTTTGAAAGGCCAATCCTTCACTAAGAGTCTTCACCGTTTTTGCCTTTGGAAAGGCCAAAACGGCGTCTTTTAATGACTGTAATAAAAAAAAAAAAATTGACCAAGTTTCACCCGGGTGGACCGGGTCCCGGGTCCCGGATCCCAGGTTAACCGAGTTTTGCCGGGTCAATTTCCAAGCGGGTTTTAGCCTCCACCGGACCAGTCATAGGACTGGGTTCTAGATCAACTCGCCGGCCGGTCCGGATTTTAATACTCTAGATCAAACTATAATTTTTTTCTCCATGTAAACAATAAAAAAAATAATATTTTTTTATATTAATAAAATTAAATTTAATTTACAATGATGATTAATTTAATGTGAAGATAGTTTTTTATTTTATAAATACAGCATTGCACGTCTAATGAAATAAATTGAGATTTGAAACTTTATGAATATAATGTGGTCTTTATGAATATAATGTGGAAGAATGAAAAAATAAAAAATAAAAATTGAGTGACCATATTTAAATAGTTTTTCAATAACAAAAAAGAAAAAAAAATGAGGCTGACCCGGTTTCATTGTAATAATTCATGGTTGGCATATAAAAATCAAAATAAATTACCATTATTTTTTAGTTTTATTATTATTATTATTATTATTACTTGACTTGACTTGGTATAAGCAGGACACCTCAAAAAAAATATCTCTGGGAAGAGTACGGGTGTCACTCCTAGCACCGCTAATTAGCCCTCAGCCACAAGTTTACCATATAGATTTTTTTTATTTATTATATATAGGCACGTATGTGTGTATGTATGTATGTATGTATGTATAGTATTTGTTTGTGTACTTGCTTGCTTGGTATTCCATGAGTGATGATTATTATTTAATTGGCTTAGAAGAAAAGATAGCGTGGGGCTGCAATTGTTAAAGACTGAATTCTTATCATTGGTGTTGATCTACAATTAATTAATTAATTAATTAATGATTATCAAGCACATTACTTACCACCAACCCCATCGATGGAAGACTTTTATTTTTATTTTTTTAAGTGGTAAATAACTTCATAATCTCTTGCTAGAAGCTAAGAGATCGTTTTTTAGTTTAAAAAAAAATTATTTTTTTACTTTAAATTAATATATTTTTTATGTTTTTAAATATTTTGATACATTAATATTAAAAATAATTTTTAAAAAATAAAAAATATATTTTTAAATAAAAAATAACCAAAATGATACATTAATATTAAAAATAATTTTTAAAAAATAAAAAATAACCAAATTATACCTCTACACAAACAGTAAATAAACTCTTTTTAAGATTTTAAGTTTGAATTTCACTAGCGTCCGCGAACCGCAAAGCTTAACCTAATATTAAAACTGATATATAATCGTAAAAACGTAGTTGATAGGCACAAACTAATCAATACCCTACGTTTTAAAATAATAATAATAATAATAGCTAGGGGGTTGCTTTTCGTCGTCATACACGTCATGCAATTGAGGGGTCAGGGTGTGGGGAGGGGTGGCGCACTCTTGGACTTTCTTTTCACAATCGTGCGCCTTTAGGTGTGGTGATCTGATTCTTTGTCAAGGCATCCTTTATAATATTTTTCGATTTGTTTGGACACCTCGGAACCATTAATTAGCCGTAGGAATATTAACCTTTCAAGCCTCACCCCTTGGCTACCTCTTGATCTTGTTACTACTACGGCTACTATATATATATATATATAAGGGTGAGTGTTGAATATACGGCTACTATATATATATATAAGGGTGAGTGTTGAATATATATCAACTTGCCATAAACAACTCAAAGAAGAGAAACACGCCCCTCTTCCTCACTCTCCTTTTCCTCTCCTCTCCTCTCCAGGACAGGGTAAAGTTGCGAGGCTGGAATCGATTACTCCCCGCTTAAGTTCAGCGATGACAAAAGTATACCCTAACGTTGCTCCCGCCACCGCCGCCACCAATGAGAAGCAGCGCCAGCTGCTCAAGCTCAAGTCCTCTAACAATGCCTTAGACGCAGATCACACGGTTGTTTTAACCGTGTGGAAGAAGTCTTTGTTGTTCAACTGCAATGGCTTTACTGTCTTTGATAGCAAGGGCAACCTTTTGTTTAGGGTTGACAACTATATGGCCAATTCCGGTAGTAATGGTGAGATCGTTCTTATGGATGCTGCTGGCAAGCCTCTCCTCACCATGCGACGCAAGGTATATTATATATATATGTGTTCATACACCAGCTTGAATGATATTAATGGGTTGCTTACTTAGGCAATTATATTAATGGTCTTACTCGTTTTTATCTGATGTAATTAATAACAGAGGCTGAGCTTAGGAGATAATTGGTTGGTGTATGATGGAGAAACAGCCATCAACCCCGGGTTTTCTGTGAAGAAGCATGTTAGCATCCTCAACAAAAAGTGTTTGGCTCATATTAGCCAAGCCGCAGGTAGTAACAAGAACGTTATGTATGAGATAGAGGGATCGTATGCACAAAGATGCTGTGCGGTGTATGATGAGAAGAAGAGAAGGGTGGCTGAGATCAAGCAGAAAGAGAGAGTTGGTGGGGTGGCTTTTGGTGGAGACGTATTCCACCTCCTTGTTGGCCCAGAAATTGACAGCTCTGTGGCCATGGCTATTGTCATCCTCCTCGACCAGATGTTTGGTTCAACCAGACGACTTTCTACCTAATTATAACCAGCTAGCTATGACACTTGCCTCCTACATATAAAGGGGATTAAAGGGTATATATAAACCGTACAGTGCATAATTAATTAGCAAGGAATGGATCATCCCATTCTGATTTTGAATTTTGATCTGCTGCTTGAACGCTATGGGAACTGGAAAGTGAATAATTGCAACACCACATCCTCCCTGGCGGCCTTTTCCTTCATCGATTATAGCCCGACTTGCGTCCAAATCCTCACCTTTTATTTTCTTCTTCTATTTTCTTTTTACCGGTATGTCGAGCTTGGTTTTTTCCTTTTAAATAAAAAGCCAAAGCTTCATGTGAGGATGCAACTATCTATTTCAATAGAAAAACAAACTACAATAGCTTGCTGTCTCATCTTTTTTTTTTTTTTGCCCTTTGTTGGGCAAAGGGTACGGAGGTTAAGTCGGGGTGATGATGATCATCTGCTGTGGTTTATTTTTCTAATTTCCCCTGTAATTTTTGTTTTCCTTTCTAAAAATAAAAATAAAATTATATATATAGAACAATCAAAGAAAAACTAGTAGTTACATTTTGAGAATCTTGGTATATTATATTTATGTTGCTGTTTTAATGCTTGATATTTGAGCAAACTCTAACTTTGATCATTATAATTAAGTATAAACTTGAAAGAATCAAGTGAAATTAGGGGTCTAATGTGAGCTGGGCCCCTCAGCTATAAGGTATGGGTTTAGGCCATCAACTTGCGGGTTCGAAGGTCTACTGGGTGGCCTGACATGGACTGGTATAAGGTGCGGGTTTGTCTTTCAACCTGCAGTTTAGCATATTGTCTTCTCAGTGTGACTAAGAAGATATACTCGATTTTAATAGTTTTTTGAGTTTAGATCTTCAAATCGAAAGAATTTAATAAAAAAATTAATTGCATCAAAATAATATCGAGAATATCTGCTTAACATCATCTAATTAAGATTTCTAACTTAGTAGACGCATAAACTCCTTGTTATCGAATAAAAAAATAATATACCAAATTACCATTTAATGAACAAATCCCATAGGAGGGTATGCCATCCAATGCCTAATTAGAATCTAGATCCATACTAGCTAGCTTCATTGTCCGCGCTCCGCTATACTTTGCAGTGTTTTACACTGGTTTCTGCAATCTGACATTTGAAAAAAAAAAAAAAAAGATGCAAGCCTGTAATTTTCAGTAAGGGAGTGATAGTTTTAGTTGGCACAGTGCCTTTCAATATACTAAATTCGTGAATCGTTAAGTTACAACACTAGCTTAGTATAGTGGCATTAAGAAACATGTTTGAAACAGAGAACTAAGCAAGACAAAAAGGCTCCATGGATTCTAACCAAACTAATGTTATCCTAGTATTTACACGTGTTTTTTAGCATATTCAGTCCACCAACATTGAAAGAGTTGTGGCAGCCTACATGGTTAGCGGCAAAATGGAATCCTGGTGGACATCGTAGTTTGTCAAATGGCTTCACTACTTCTGCAAAAGATAGTTGGAGTTGGTTCTAGACACCAATGACAGGAAATACAAGGAAACAATATCTGAATATTGAAGAACTTGAAATGTGGGCTGAACGGAAAGAAAAGAATGCAGTCACGACTAAAATTTTTGAATCTGTTGCAAAATATGACTGAAATGCAAGTGCATAGCTTGAAAAAAAAAAAAACAGAAAACCATTTGGGAGATAGCTTATGATAATCATCTAGTTATTTGGGTTTTTTTGCATAGGAACATGCAGTCATGGAGCTGAGTTATTGTATGAACCATCGTATGTGATGCTCTAGACATGGTCAATATGCATGAAAGCTCAAAAAAAAAAAAAACATAGAACAGATGCCATATTTAAACATCAATCAAACAATGTGCAGGACCAATATGAAAAATAAGGAGAAAAAAATATGAACTCAAGAGTACGCTCATTGTGATAGTCACAAAGGTGTCAATTGTAGGCTTTAGAGCAATCGAGGGTTCTTCGCTTTTTCAAAGAGCTTAAATAGTCAGTGCCAAAAAAATCAAACACAAAGAGTGCTAACCCAAGGAGGCGGCAGCCGAAATAACTCATTCTAAAGTCAACAGTAAAAAACTACATAGATGAAAGTTCACGAAGTGGTTGAAGGTATTTTACATCTTGGAGTTTCCACCATTTTAAAGGACTGTTGTCGTAATATTGTATGTGTAATTTCTTAATTTTTTTTTGGCATTGCTACATGGAACCATTAGGCTTACAGTAAATACATATGAATCTTAAATGTGATATTGTATGTGTAATTTCTTAAAAAAAAATTGGCATTGCTACATGGAACCATTACGTTTACAGTAAATACATATGAATCTTAAATGTTGAAACTAAGCTTCCATAATCTCAATTAAACATCACAAACCTTTGTGTTCATGCAAAGATGCCTCGTAGACAATTCTAGTCTAACGCATAAGAACTAACAAAAAGGTTTTTTTTTATAAGAGAGAGAGATGTGTGAGAAGTACTAGAATCAATCGAGATAAACTTCTATGAACTTCACTTCAAAAAATACAACAATCTCTCAAATTCATGATATAATTAAATTTGGAAAAGCAGTTTGAATTTTGGGTTATCCAAAGACATAAAACCATCCTTAAACCAACCAAACAAACAAAGAATCTAATCTAGAGCTACCGAGAAGGCAACATCGCACCCAACACTTAATACACAACATCAATCTCATTTTGAAAACTAAAAAAGCATAACAACATCTCCGCAACTTCAAAACAAGAAAAAAGTGCGAAGAGAATAAGAAAAGTAGTATATATAGTTGCAAAAAAGATCCTGCAATCACCACAATGATGTAAAAGAAACAATGCGTGAAAAATCAAGAAACCATTGTACTTTGTACATAATCTCAACAAGCTTTTCAAAAATAACAATCCTCTATGAATTTGTCCAGTGTGAAATGATATAAGCCAAAGAGAAACAGAATCACAGAGCAAACCTTTAAAAATAGAAAAGGTAGCAATATCAGGATCAATTGTTTGAAACTCTAAACAAGATCTTTCTAAAAACAGTCATCACCTCTCAAAGGCGTGATGTAATTGAGCCTGGAAAAAGATTCAAAAAATCAAGTTATTCAAAGGCCTTAAACTAGCACCAAACTAAATAAACAAAGAAATCATGACGGTTTTAAGCAACATGCAACATTGTATTGAGCATATAACACACAACTTATATCTCATTTTTTGTTAAAAAAAAATCATCACATCTCTCTAAATGCAAAAGGACAAACACAAAGCAAATTCATCTAGAACAAACATACAACTGCAGGACTACAAAACAAGAGACAACACAATCTTACCTAAATAAACAGCAGAAGCCATTTGAGAAACCAAAGGAAAATCCCGTAAACAAAAACACAGGGATGTAGATGAAAAATCAAAAGATAGCACAAACAAACAAATAAACAGCTCAAGCTATCCAAAACATCAAAGGCCCAGCTCGTAAACAACGACCCCTTACATATAATTGAAAAACAAAAAAAAAGTCAATAGTCATAAATTCAAAAGGATGAATCTTGTAACATCAATTTCCATCTCTAAGAAAAGAGCACAGACAACACATACACCTAAGAAAAACCAATGACTTCAATAGTAAAAATTGCAAAATGAAATCAAAACCAAGCGAAGTCAAAATGATAGAAAAAACCAACACAAAACCAAGTTGACTTCACAGAATATCGTGTGAATGTCAATAAGAAATCAAGCAAGAGTACTAAAGACTATATCATAGACTATCGTGAAAAAACACGTAAAGAAAGCAGCTCCAAGTAATGAAAGGAAGACCATAAAACTCCACTAACCTCCAATATAGATCAAAGGAAACGGAAAATAAAGCGACAGTGGCAAACAAAAAATAGAGACAATATTTCCAAAGAAAAAGAAAAGATTCAATAATTGTTCTCACAACAACAGAATCAAAAACCATCATGAAAGAGTTCAAGCACGAATCTAAATAAAAAATCAAAATTAAATCAAACCATTGCAACGGAGAAGGAAAATTCACATTCATAAAAAGCAAAACATAAATTCAAAAAGCCAATAGAGGAAGAAAATCTCTTCCTTTAAAAGCCATTTTATAGGCAAAATAGCTAGTGTCCACGCCATAAAAATGCATCAAACCAAGACAAAAATAAAAGACAGTGAAACAGAGAAAGTCATCATTATAAAAATAATTAAAGCTGCCTAAAATCAAACCATAATAAAGGAGAAACTTACCCGATTACAATCCCCTCCCCTCCTAGGAGAGGTGTTGGAACCCGACGCTCCTAGTCAAGATTGAACTAAAAACTCCAAACAATAGAGCAGCAACCCTCTCAATATCGCACAATAGTGTGCGTATTAAAATGCACAACGATGCCTCTCTAGCCTATGTCGCATAGCAGGGCACCAAAGACAACTACAGTAAGGAAAGCATGGCCCATAATTGTCAATCAAAAGAGTGAGAGACTGCTGAACAAATGTAATAAAAAACCCACCTAAAACCCAGTGGCCAGGAATAAATTGCAAGAGACTAAACTTGATGCCCCTCACAGTACACACACTTAAAACCCAACCCAACTAGAATCAAAGCCCAACAAGTTGTGCATCCGCTCGACTATCCTATACTCTCGCTCTTTGTCCAGATCATATAATAATCAGGCAGGGGTTGTAGTTGATCGATCGAGACGAAGTTGGGAAACAAATAGAAATGTCTGAATCCACGGTGGTTTTGAGTCTGCATGCACAGCAGAATAAACAATGGCATCCACAGTAGTATTAAAGTTTCACTGTGTAATATTTATTAATGTCTAAATTTAAAATATTATTCTTCATTTCAATATTTAGTGATATCAAAGTTAAGAATATTAAATCTTTTTTAATATAATATTTCATTAATATTAAAATTAAAAATATTATTTTCAGTTTAATATTTTTTAACATCATAGTCAAAAGTCAAAAATATTAGAACTATATATAACAAGTAAATCTTATTAGACTCATTTTATGGATCTTTCTTATAATAACTAGGTTTAAACTTCAAACCATTAATAAGGATTTAACTTAGCATAGTAAGTAAACTTGTTAACACCATATAAATATTTTACATGTACATTATATGCAATAAATTATTATTAATTTAAAATAAAATTAGTAATACAACTTATGTAAGATATTTTAAAATAATAATATCTTTTTTTTACATATTATTAACTATAATACGAAGTAACAGATCTTTTTCACAAAGTTAAAACATTCCCCCCCCTTTACACATAAAAAGATGAATTAAAATGATGGTATATTTCCTCTAACATAACAAGTCCGTTATATTAGATCTCTAAACATCATCAATGTAGCTTATTTCAAATATAATGTTTTGGGATGATAATATTTTGCATATTTAATATAACTAATTTCTTATCTTAATTCTTTAAACATTAGTTAAAGATTTTCTGTGATTATAATATAAAATGACAACTTCTTTTTACAAAATTAAAAACACTCACCCCACCAAAAAAAAATCCTTTCTTCTTTTATAAAAAAAATAGGATGATACGATGTTGGGTGTGATAATGCTGAGTATGGAAAACATATTTTAGAGGTTTTGCATTGTTTTTCAATAAAGTTTTTCACTATTTTTTAAATTAAAAAAATGAATAATACGTTTTTTTCCTTTTACATACAAGCACTTTTTAGAGGTTCTGCATGCACAGTAGAATGGACAATGGCATCCACAGTAGTATTAAAGTTTCACTGTGTAATATTATTGTGATATCAAAGTTAATGTCTAAATTTAAAATATTATTCTTCATTTCAATATTTAGTGATATCAAAGTTAAAAATATTTAAAAAAAATAATATAATATTCATTAATACTAAAATTAAAAATATTATTTTTAATTTAATACTTTTTAATATCATAGTCAAAAATATTAGAACTATCTAACAAGTAAATCTTATCAGAGTTATTTTATGGACCTGGTTTAAACTTTAAACCACTAACAAGGATTTAACTTACTATAGTAAGTAAACTTGTTAACACCACATAACTATATTATATGTACATTATATGCAGTAAACTATTATTAATTTAAAATAAAATTAATAATACAATTTATTTCATGTAAAGTATTTTAAAATAATAATATTTTTTTTAACATATCAGTTCATTATTTTAGATGTTTAAAAACCAGTTAGTTTTTTTATTAATTATAATACTGTAACAAATATTTTTCATAAAGTTGAGATATTTCCACCCCTTGCACATATAAAAAAATGAATTAAGGTGATGGTATATTTTTTCTAACATGACAAGTTTTTTATGTTAGATTTTTAAACATCATCAATACAATTTATTCTAGATATAATGTTTTGGGATGAGAGTATATTGCATATCTAGTATAAATAATTTCTTATCTTAATTCTTTGAAGATTAGTTAAAGGTTTTTTAAAATTATAATATGAAATGGTAACTTCTTTTTACAAAATTAAGAACCCCCACCCCACCCTAAAAAAAAAAAAATCCTTTCTTCTCTTATAAAAAAGAATAGGGTCTGGAAAATATATTTTAGAGGTTTTATGTTGTTTTTCAATACAAGTTTTTTGCTATTTTTTAAATTAAAAAAATGAACAATAAATTTTTTTTCTTTTACATACAAGCACTTTTAGCATGTACAAGATTAAAATATATTTTTTTAATAAATGAACCTGTTTTTCAATTTTATAATGAAAAAAGAATATAAAACTAGAAAAAGGAAAAGAAAACCGATTCCATGTTACTAAACGCACCCATATATTCTACAAATATATTAGCGTAAGAATATGTATTACTTTTTTAAGCAATAATAAAAATGAATTTGGTTTCCTCGTGTAAAAATTGGCTTGTCCAGCTAATGATTTTACTGCTAAAACTTCGTGGAATGAGCAAATTTACTTACCTTTAGTTTGGTACAACTTTTTTGCATGTGGTTGGAGTTTAACAAAGAATATAAATTAAAAAGAAATTATCATTATCAAAGAACATTAATAAATACTTATGACGGAAACAATATAAAATGCGCCGGGGGTAGGCGAACAAAAAGGGTAGCCTGTTAGGTGTGGAGTGTGGATGGGGGCAGGTAAGGCTTTCTATTCGATCTAAAGAAAATTTGTTTTATTTTCTTCCACGACAGAGACTAAATAATTATAAGGTCAAAAATGATTTCTCTCTCCAGTCTTTCTCTCTCTAGAAACACGTAACACCTAACAAAAACACTAAATTTAAAGCAAGATCTTTCTCTGTATACCTAATCTTTTCGGACGAGTATGGAGCTAAAAACCTCGTATGAATAATGGATAACAGTGGAGAGGAAAGTTTTTTAAGTGAATCTCGATTGAATGGCATGTGTGTCGATTTATTTTCTATTAAATTAGCAGGTAATAGTTAAAATATTATAAATATACACTTGATTTAACAAAAAAATAAATAATTTGTAAGTTACCCTGAGCCGAATCTTGAAGTTTTGAAAACCCTAAACTATTGGATTTTAGGTTGGTAATTAAAAAATTAGATTGTTCTTTATATGTTTTATACTAATTATGAAAGTTGTTTATCGAAGTAATGAAAACCTCAATATGATAAATTAAGGTTGCTATTCCTAAAGCTATAAGAACCCTAATTAATTGGTTTGTGGCTTGAATGATTACAGGAGTAAGCATTTTAGTATTAGTTACATTATATACTTGTAATCGTGCTTTGTGCATTAAGTATCAAGACCCCCAATTTGATAAATTAGGATTAATGTGAATAATGGTATAAAAACCCTAATTAATTGTGTTTTGGTAATATTTAAACTATTGTTTATACTTGCTGTGCATATGCATGTATGTAATTAGGTTTGTATGTTTTTGTAATGGCAGAATATAAAATGTCTTTATTATGGTGGTCTATCACACATTAAAAAAGATTGTTGCTATGCTATATAGTCTATATAGACATATTATTCATATGCAAAAAAAATAAAAAATTCACTGTAAATATGTATGGTTTTAAAATAATAGATGATCAAGAAAATCAATATTTAATGATGAATCAATACTAAAGATATTGAAATATATATATATATAAGGGAAGAAGAAATACATATTTATGTTGATGTGGATGATACTGTTGCTCCTTTAACAATAAGAAGTTTGATTTAGATGATTTGGAGACTTTTTTAATAATAATATTGTTTTTAAAAGGAGTTGTAATGACGTGAGTTTAGGATGTGAAAAGAATTGAAATGGATAATATTGATACTAGTAGTGTGTATTATGATAAATATATAAATGATAAAGAGGAGGATGAGGTAAATGATGATTACATTTTTTTCCATGAGAAAGAATTTAAATTTGTTAATAAAAAAACATAATAATAATTGAATTGCTAGCTTATATAATGATGCATGTTTTGGTCAAAGTTTGGAAAGTAGCTCAAAATAAAAAAAAAATAAAAAAAAAGTGGAAGATAAACAAGATTAATAATGATGATAATATTGCATTTAGTGTAAAACAGATAATAGTTTTAAGGATTTTGAAGATAAAAGTGGAAAGATTTGGAGGAAGAATAAGAAGCTTTAAGATGTTTAAAGTGTGAGTTGATGGATTAATCAAGTTCTATAAATATTACATATTTCACAATGTCAATTATTTTAGAAAAGTATTGAAAAAATATCAAACATGACTATAATCTAAAGAGATACATTAATTAAAAGATGAAGATTGCATTAACATATTCAAGTGTTTGCTGTGAGCGAAGGATTCATGCTTCGTCTATTTTTAGGAGTAATACTTTCATGGTAAAAAATATTAAAGATATGCATACTTGTATTAAAAAAATTTATTATAAAAGCTTTTAATTTTACTTGAGTTACAAATAAAATACTATTTATTTTTAATGTTGATCCAAACATATTTAAAGAAGCACTAAATATAATTTTAGAGAAAAATTATGGTATCAAAATATAAGAGGTTTTTTTTTTTTTGTAATTTTTTTTTGGGCTTAAATTTTGAAATTAGTATTTAGTAGAATTTATTAATTTTTTAAAAAATATATTAAACAAACGTGTAAGATGCATTTTTAAAATTATTTAACGAAGGATCCAGTCTATACTAACATGTAAATTAGTTTGTCAAATAAATGAAATACCTGTAAGGCCCCGTTTTATCTTAATTAAATAAAAAAAAAACCAATACGGGGCGGGACATGCATTGAGAAGCAGTAGGAGTATAATAAAAGGGATAATAAAGAATATTCCATTTGCCGACGATCAAGCCTGAGTTGTTAAATTAAAATATCGTTGGGAATTTTGATTTTTTAAAAAAATTTAAAATAATATTTTTTAGTCTTCTTTAATTATTTTAATAGGGTAATATAAAAATATAAAAATCATTTTAATATATTTTTAAAATTAAAAATTAAAAAAGTGACTTTTATTTCACTCCTAAATATCTGAAACCATAAAAGAAAAGGAAAAAAAATCTCGAGAAGAATCGCGTGGCCGGCTGATGCACGTGTAGTTGAGAGCGATTGGTAACTATATATGATTTAGTCCCTGAAATCTCAATGTGATTACAACATAGCTCCTCATATTTTAAAATATGTACATTAGCTCCTTAACCATTATTTTAGAAAAAGATATGTTGAATTCTTTTACATACCAAATGTAGTCTTTGATATTTTAAAATTGATAGAGAAAAACCTAATAATATGGGTTTTAAAGAAAAAAA